AATTATTTAGATAAATTATTTAGATAAATTATATGCAATTTTTTTAATACAGACTTTATATATAAGCTTTAATTTCCAGATAATGAAGAAATTCGACAAATATTTTGATAAATAAGCTAGTTTGTGTGTGTATTTTTACTAGAGATACCAGGAGATTATTAGCATAAGCTCTAGAAGAAATCTTCTAGTCATGTGTTCCTAATTTATAAACTCGATATCAGTAATCTTTAAATCTTTCCGGCTTAGATTTTTAATTTGAATTTTTATTTGAGAAAGTCGTACATTACTTTCAATAATTCATCAAAGATAATATTGACATGATGTTGCATTACGTGCAGAATCGAATCGTCCTTGATTAAAGCCTCTCACTTCTTCTGAGCAAAGATCTTCTACAATACGATTACCCTTTCTATTAAATTATGAATATCCTTACGACACTGCTGTAGTACTAGAGCTACCTTGAATATATGACTGCATCAGAAGCTAGAGAGATTGTGACAATATATAACATTAATCATATATATCAAGTACCTCGAGGTTTTCAGCTTGAGATACTCAATATCATATCATATCAATATGCAATCGCATTCTTCTTGTTACTTTTATTTCTTGAGTAAAAAATGCACTGGTATCTCTATTGATAACTGATTCCCGACGCATCTCTTTATCACAATTTCAATTCTAGCATTGCTATCAATATCTATCATTCTCATCAGCGTGTCGTTTGTTATTTAAAATGCCTTATCCATCGCTTAATTTTTTTCGTATTCAACGTGCATCGGGAGCCGGTACGAATTTATCCGCGCGAATTTATGTGCATCCGGTAACGCGCAAAACCATGCAGTACGAGTCATCCGCATATTAATCGAGCCCCGGAGTCCTCGTTTCACGACTGACCGTGAAACCAGCACGTGAATGCAAGTTGCCAAAACCGGCAATTCCCTCCTTCCTCCCACCGTTCCTTCCTCTTTTTTCCCCGCGTCCCATTCCTTCTACTTCTACCTCGATCACGTAATCCGCGGAGTCTCGACATTGACATAATCGACCTGACTCGACGCCGCTCAAGGTCGCCATAAGAGTAAGATCTCGGGCGGGGAAGGTGAACTGATTATCAGAGCAGGAAAAGTGGTGCGAAGAAAGGGGGAGAAAGGGGTTGAAAGGGGAACCGGTACACGCGTCGACGATCTCGAGGGAGAGACGCAGCGGGATCGCCATCCCCATCGACGGTCCAGATCGGAGTGCCGTTCGTCGCGCGGTTAGTATAGCGGCGACAGCCCTCAAAAATAGCTGAGGCTTCCTCGCTGAGACTGGCACCCTCCCAACAGGCTATACTTGGACATACCCGCGTACACGATTATTTATAGTGAGCGCGAGAGCGCGGCCACTGGCCTTCTTATGAACTAACCAGCCACGACGACCAGCCGAGGAGACATTTCGCCGCCCGTGACCTAGGCCCGCATTAATAACGACACCACCCTTGCCTTGCCTTGCCTTCCGACGAGAAACTTAGCACTTTGCACTCGTCGGCGGACGTAGCCGCATCAACACCTTTCTCTCTCTCTTTCTCTTTCGCGATTCCAAACTCTCGCCCAAAAGATCTTGCCTTGAGGTTGTTGATTCTCTTTAAAAGCTTACTAGCTGCTGAACAATAAGAGTTTCCTTCGTTAAGAGTCGCTTCAAGATTTTAAATTGTCTCTCTGTTGATTTTTCCATGTTTAATTATGCAAATTTCTGGAACTTGAAATTTTTAGATTCGATTGTTCGCAAGAGCGAAAAATAACATAAAACATGAATAACAGAAAACTTGAAAACTCTGGAGAAAAAATGAACTAGCTACCCAATTTGAATGAGCTACTAAAAATATACCACCTTTCACACGAGACACCGGATGTGATTCCTTATTTTCCTCGTTGAAATCTAAAGGAGACCAGACGACCATCATAAAAAAAAAAAAAATGAGATACGAAAGTCACCGATGATACCACATCTGTCCAAGATATTTTTATCCAAATTTCCAAAGTATATATTTTCAATGTTAAGGTAATATTTAAAGAAAGGCATTGCAGAATACGAACTATTTTGTATCAATATCGCTGAAGATGATAGAGATTGAGCAATTATTTTACAGCCATCTGTAATAATTTCATTCCATTTCTCTAAAGTTTGTGAGATTTTTGTTTATTTATAAAATTCCCAGAGCAAAACCTACAAATTCGCTTCCTAATACAGTTTACGAAAGCGAGTCATTCACGCATCTCGCTCGTTCGCGAATAGATTAAATAGCGACACGTCCAAAGCTAATTTTTTTCTAACGGCACTTAATCGCCCAGCAGATGTGAGAAGTGAGAGCTGCGAGATCATCGAACATAACGATGCCTTTCGTGATATACCTCTACTATTTTTATTCTTTGTTTTGCTTAACAAGAAACTGTCTCAATCATAATCAACTCGAGAAAAAAAAAAATTATCGACAAGATTGTTAAGAGATAAGAATGTGAAATCAAGAATTCAGTGATGTCAGAAAAAAATAAGGATCTAATATATCTCATTAATTAATTCAATTCTCAACTATTGACATGAAAATTTGCGTTTTCGTGCATTGTCTTAGTTTCTCAAGCGCCGGTTCCCTTTGCTCGACTTTGTCCAACATACGATACTTAAAACGTACATAAATCGAGCGATCTTTAAGGTTCGTTTGCGGTGTAACGGTCGTTAAACATCGTTTTATACGGCGTAACGTACCGCCACAACGGTGGTTTCCACAACGTTATACTACTTGTATTTATGCGTGTCTAGCAGCTGACGAACAGTACCATGAGAGACATTGTTCAATGACCTGAAGCAATCTCGCTCGATGAATCGATGAGCATGATCCAGCACATGCCTCCGTAATCCATATAGCGATAATTATCGTTCCATTTTCGATGGCGTGACTTTTCAATCAGTGCGCATGATTAGTTAGCTCTCGGAGAACGCCTAATTACAGCGCGTTCACCGTTGTAATAACAGTAATAATAACCGTCACAGATCTCGCAAATCTCAGCTTTACGACGCGATCGCGATGTAAATCACAGCCGGACGATTTATTTGACACATCTACGCATAAAGTTTACGATCGTCGGTGATGAAATGCGTTCTGCCAAAACGCGTGCGTTACGCAATTTCGTTTCACGATTCATCAAATCGTCTTAATCGATAATCCTTACTCTCACCGCATCTTGCCCATTATGCCAAATTATTTTTTCTACCGATATACAGATCTCCATACGCGGATCCAATCTGGCCTCTCGATCCGATCGAATTTTTCCCCGCTCCCGCTTCCCCCACCGATTTTCTCTCTTTGTGTACAAACAGATTCCTGTTGGCGGCGCGCCAGGTACCCGGCGAGAATTGATAAAATCGCCCTGATCTCGGAAAAGTCTCGCGATCGTGAAAGTATATCGATATATAAATCCCGCGATC